TAGCGGGCGGCCGTGGCGGATAATGAAATAGCGGGCGGCCGTGGCGGATAATGAAATAGCGGGCGGCCGTGGCGGATAATGAAATAGCGGGCGGCCGTGGCGGATAATGAAATAGCGGGCGGCCGTGGCGGATAATGAAATAGCGGGCGGCCGTGGCGGATAATGAAATAGCGGGCGGCCGTGGCGGATAATGAAATAGCGGGCGGCCTTGGCGGATAATGAAATAGCGGGCGGCCGTGGCGGATAATGAAATAGCGGGCGGCCATGGCGGATAATGAAATAGCGGGCGGCCGTGGCGGATAATGAAATAGCGGGCGGCCGTGGCGGATAATGAAATAGCGGGCGGCCGTGGCGGATAATGAAATAGCGGGCGGCCGTGGCGGATAATGAAATAGCGGGCGGCCGTGGCGGATAATGAAATAGCGGGCGGCCGTGGCGGATAATGAAATAGCGGGCGGCCGTGGCGGATAATGAAATAGCGGGCGGCCGTGGCGGATAATGAAATAGCGGGCGGCCGTGGCGGATAATGAAATAGCGGGCGGCCGTGGCGGATAATGAAATAGCGGGCGGCCGTGGCGGATAATGAAATAGCGGGCGGCCGTGGCGGATAACGAAATAGCGGGCGGCCGTGGCGGATAATGAAATAGCGGGCGGCCGTGGCGAATAATGAAATAACGGGCGGCCATGGCGGATAATGAAATAACGGGCGGCCATGGCGGATAATGAAATAGCGGGCGGCCGTGGCGGATAATGAAATAACGGGCGGCCATGGCGGATAATGAAATAGCGGGCGGCCGTGGCGGATAATGAAATAGCGGGCGGCCATGGCGGATAATGAAATAGCGGGCGGCCATGGCGGATAATGAAATAGCGGGCGGCCGTGGCAGATAATGAAATAGCGGGCGGCCGTGGCGGATAATGAAATAGCGGGCGGCCGTGGCGGATAATGAAATAGCGGGCGGCCGTGGCGGATAATGAAATGGCGGGCGGCCGTGGCGGATAATGAAATAGCGGGCGGCCGTGGCGGATAATGATATAGCGGGCGGCCGTGGCGGATAATGAAATAGCGGCCGGCCGTGGCGGATAATGAAATAGCGGGCGGCCATGGCGGATAATGAAATAGCGGCCGGCCGTGGCGGATAATGAAATAGCGGGCGGCCATGGCGGATAATGAAATAGCGGGCGGCCATGGCGGATAATGAAATAGCGGGCGGCCGTGGCGGATAATGAAATAGCGGGAGGCTTGGCCACGCGGGGGGGGGGGGGAGGGAGGGGGTGGTAGTGAAATAAGCGGTCGGATTCTGACGTCTCGTAAGGAGCGCGCACAACGCTGATCCCGTGAGGGGCTCGTGCTCCCACGAGGACTCCCAACGCCGCCGCTGATCTGATGAGGAGGTCGGAGCCGGGCCTGTGACGTGAGCGGCGGGGAGCGGCCGTGAAACACACAGACGGTGGACGAAGCTTCGCCCGCCCGCCCGCCCGCCCTCCGTGCGGCCCCGGTTCCTAACGGGCCACGGGGACCAGTTACCGGTAACCGGGGGGTCTCCCGGTGGTCCGGTGGTCCGGGAGACCCCCCCCCCCCCCGCCTGGACTACAGGGGGGAGGGATTTTATTCGGGAAGCGTTGACACCGTCGGGACGCGGGTTAATAAACGGAGACGCCTCCCAAGCCCCCGGGCGTCTCCGATTCGGTCGCTACGCGCGGCGCGGTTTAAAAAAAATTAACAAACGGCCACGATTCGCAATTTTTTTTTATTTTTTACTGATGACGAACCCGATCGGTCATGGGTACCCCCCCCCCCACCCCCATTAGGTCGCTAATTACGCGTTGGCTAAACCGCCCCCACAACGTCGCGCGGGAAGAGGGAACGGTCAAGAGTGACCTCATCGCGTAAACCACACTCCCTCCCTCTCATAATGTAAACACTCACCCCGAGCCCTCAACGATGGTGGTAGTAGTGATGGTGACGATGTCGATGATGGTGGTAGTGGTGGTGACGATGTTGATGATGATGGTGGTAGTAGTGATGGTGACGGTGGTGGTGGTAGTAGTGGTGGTGACGATGTTGATGATGGTGGTAGTAGTGATGGTGACGATGTCGATGATGGTGGTAGTAGCGATGGTGACGATGTTGATGATGGTGGTAGTAGTGATGGTGACGATGTTGATGATGATGATGGTAGTAGTGATGGTGACGATGTTGATGATGATGGTAGTAGTGATGGTGACGATGTTGATGATGGTGGTAGTAGTGGTGGTGACGATGTTGATGATGGTGGTAGTAGTGATGGTGACGATGTCGATGATGGTGGTAGTAGCGATGGTGACGATGTTGATGATGGTGGTAGTAGCGATGGTGACGATGTTGATGATGATGATGGTAGTAGTGATGGTGACGATGTTGATGATGGTGGTAGTAGTGATGGTGACAATGTTGATGATGGTGGTAGTAGTGATGGTGACGATGTCGATGATGGTGGTAGTAGTGATGGTGACGATGTCGATGATGGTGGTAGTAGTGATGGTGACGATGTTGATGATGGTGGTGGTAGTAGTGATGGTGACGATGTTGATGATGATGGTAGTAGTGATAGTGACGATGTTGATGATGATGGTAGTAGTGATGGTGACGATGTTGATGATGGTGGTAGTAGTGGTGGTGACGATGTTGATGATGATGGTAGTAGTGATGGTGACGATGTTGATGATGATGGTAGTAGTGATGGTGACGATGTTGATGATGATGGTAGTAGTGATGGTGACGATGTTGATGATGGTGGTAGTAGTGATGGTGACGATGTTGATGATGATGGTAGTAGTGATGGTGACAATGATGATGATGGTGGTAGTAGTGATGGTGACGATGTCGATGATGGTGGTAGTAGTGATGGTGACGATGTCGATGATGGTGGTAGTAGTGATGGTGACGATGTCGATGATGGTGGTAGTAGTGATGGTGACGATGTTGATGATGGTGGTAGTAGTGATGGTGACGATGTCGATGATGGTGGTAGTAGTGGTGGTGACGATGTCGATGATGGTGGTAGTAGTGATGGTGACAATGACGATGATGGTGGTAGTGGTGGTGACAATGACGATGATGGTGGTAGTGGTGGTGACGATGTCGATGATGGTGGTAGTAGTGATGGTGACGATGTTGATGATGATGGTAGTAGTGATGGTGACGATGTTGATGATGATGGTAGTAGTGATGGTGACGATGTTGATGATGGTGGTAGTAGTGATGGTGACAATGTTGATGATGGTGGTAGTAGTGATGGTGACGATGTCGATGATGGTGGTAGTAGTGATGGTGACGATGTCGATGATGGTGGTAGTAGTGATGGTGACGATGTTGATGATGGTGGTGGTAGTAGTGATGGTGACGATGTTGATGATGATGGTAGTAGTGATGGTGACGATGTTGATGATGATGGTAGTAGTGATGGTGACGATGTTGATGATGGTGGTAGTAGTGGTGGTGACGATGTTGATGATGATGGTAGTAGTGATGGTGACGATGTTGATGATGATGGTAGTAGTGATGGTGACGATGTTGATGATGGTGGTAGTAGTGATGGTGACGATGTTGATGATGATGGTAGTAGTGATGGTGACGATGTTGATGATGATGGTAGTAGTGACGGTGACAATGATGATGATGGTGGTAGTAGTGATGGTGACGATGTCGATGATGGTGGTAGTAGTGATGGTGACGATGTCGATGATGGTGGTAGTAGTGATGGTGACGATGTCGATGATGGTGGTAGTAGTGATGGTGACGATGTCGATGATGATGGTGGTAGTAGTGATGTTGCTGATGGTGCTAGTAGTGATGATGATGATGATGTTGTTGATGGTGATGTTAGTGGTGATGGAGGAATGAGGATGTGGTGGCCATGGGTTGCTAGGAACTGGGACCCGGTAGTAGTGATGGTAATGTTGGTGATGTTGATGATGTTGATGTTGGTGATGTTGATGGTGATGATGTTGATGTTGGAATGAGGACGTGGTGGCTGCTACGAACTGGGACCCCGTAGTAGTGATGGTGATGCTGGTGATGCTGGTGATGCTGGTGATGCTGGTGATGTTGGAATGAGGACGTGGTGGCTGCTATGAACTGGGACCCCGTAGTAGTGATGGTGATGCTGGTGATGATGTTGGTGATGTTGATGATGTTGATGGTGATGATGTTGGTGATGATGATGATGATGATGTTGATGGTGATGTTGGAATGAGGACGTGGTGGCTGCTACGAACTGGGACCCGGTAGTAGTGATGGTGATGTTGGTGATGATGTTGGTGATGATGATGATGTTGGTGATGATGATGATGATGTTGGTGATGTTGATGATGTTGTTGATGAAGGAATGAGGACGTGGTGGCTGCTATGAACTGGGACGTGGTAGTAGTGATGTTGATGTTGGTGATGATGATGATGATGATGTTGATGGTGATGTTGGAATGAGGACGTGGTGGCTGCTACGAACTGGGACCCGGTAGTAGTGATGGTGATGTTGGTGATGATGTTGGTGATGATGATGATGTTGGTGATGATGATGATGATGTTGGTGATGTTGGAATGAGGACGTGGTGGCTGCTACGAACTGGGACCCGTTAGTAGTGATGGTGGTGATGTTGGTGATGTTGGTGATGTTGATGATGTTGATGGTGATGTTGGAATGAGGACGTGGTGGTTGCTACGAACTGGGACCCGGTAGTAGTGATGGTGATGCTGGTGATGGTGATGTTGGTGATGATGATGATGATGTTGATGATGATGATGTTGGTGATGTTGGTGATGATGATGATGTTGGTGATGTTGGTGGTGATGTTGATGATGGTGATGTTGATGGTGCTGTTGTTGGTGATGATGTTGATGATGATGATGATGTTGGTGATGTTGGTGGTGATGTTGATGGTGATGTTGGTGGTGATGTAGTCAGCGAGCAGTGTGGTTTTTGGGGGGTGTGGGGTTGGTGGGGGTGTTGGAGCCTCACCCTGGTTGAGGTAGCTGATGACCTTGAGGAAGGCGAACTCCTCACGAGTGACGTGCAGGAGCTGCATCCTGCGGAACAGGAAGATCATCTTCTCCACCACCTCCATGCCCTCCTCGGGGAAGCTGCCGTGGCCACGGAGGGAGGGAGGGTGAGAGGAGGGAGGGGGAGAGGAGAAGCCATCAATACCAGACGTCACCACCACAGCCATCGCCAGTCACCACCACAGCCGTCACCACCAGCGTCACCACCAGCGTCACCACCACCAGCGTCACCACCACCACAGTCACCAGCGTCACCACCACCACAGTCACCAGCGTCACCACCACCACAGTCACCAGCGTCACCACCAGCGTCACCACCAGCGTCACCACCAGCGTCACCACCAGCGTCACCACCAGCGTCACCACCAGCAGTCACCACCACAGTCACCACCACCACAGTCACCAGCGTCACCACCACCACAGTCACCAGCGTCACCACCAGCGTCACCACCAGCAGTCACCACCACAGTCACCACCACCACAGTCACCAGCGTCACCACCACCACAGTCACCAGCGTCACCACCAGCGTCACCACCAGCAGTCACCACCACAGTCACCACCACCAGTCACCACCACCACAGTCACCACCAGTTACCAGCGTCACCACCGTCACCAGCGTCACCACAGTCACCAGCGTCACCACCACCACCACAGTCACCACCACCACAGTCACCACCACCACAGTCACCACCACCAGCGTCACCACCACCACAGTCACCACCACCACAGTCACCACCACCACCACAGTCACCACCACCACCACAGTCACCACCACCAGCGTCACCACCACCACCACAGTCACCACCACCACCACAGTCACCACCACCACAGCCACCCTCATGCACCAGGGGCGGCCTCCACCCCTCGTCACCTGTTGATGGTGCTCTGCTGTGGAGTGTAGCGTGACGTCAGTTGCCCCACCTCCCCGAACACCTGCACAGCGGCACACAGCAGCAGCAGCAGCGTCAGCCAACAGCAGCAGAGCCATCGTCAGCGAGCGAGCTAGCGGGGGACTAGCGGGAGAGTGAGCGAGCTAGCGGGGGACTAGCGGGAGAGTTAGCGAGTGAGCGAGCTAGCGGGGGACTAGCGGGAGAGTTGGCGAGTGAGTGAGCTAGCGGGGGACTAGCGGGAGAGTTGGCGAGTGAGCGAGCTAGCGGGGGACTAGCGGGAGAGTTGGCGAGTGAGCGAGCTAGCGGGTGAGCTAGCTGGTGAGTGAGCGAGCTGGTGAGTGAGTGGGTGAGTGAGCGAGCTGGTGAGCAAGCTAGCTGGTGAGCGAGCTAGCTGGTGAGCGAGCTAGCTGGTGAGCGAGCGAGCTGGTGAGCTAGCTGGTGAGCGAGCTAGCTGGTGAGCGAGCTAGCTGGTGAGCGAGCTAGCGGGTGAACTAGCTAGCGGGTGAACTAGCTATCTGGTGAGCGAGCTGGTGAGCGAGCTAGCTGGTGAGCGAGCTGGTGAGCGAGCTAGCTGGTGAGCGAGCGGGTGAGCGAGCTAGCTGGTGAGCGAGCTAGCTGGTGAGTGAACTAGCTGGTGAGCGAGCTAGCTGGTGAGTGAGCGAGCTAGCTGGTGAGTGAGCGAGCTAGCTGGTGAGCGAGCTAGCGGGTGAGCGAGCTAGCGGGGTGAGCTAGCTAGCTGGTGAGCTAGCTGGTGAGCTAGCTGGTGAGCGAGCGAGCTGGTGAGCGAGCTAGCTGGTGAGCTAGCGAGCTGGAGAGCGAGCTAGCGGGTGAGCGAGCTAGCGGGTGAGCGAGCTAGCGGGTGAGCGAGCTAGCTGGCTGGTGAGCTAGCTAGCTGGTGAGCTAACTAGCTGGTGAGCTAGCTAGCTGGTGAGCTAGCTAGCTGGAGAGCGAGCTAGCTAGCTGGTGAGCGAGCTCGCTAGCTGGTGAGCGAGCTAGCTAGCTGGTGAGCGAGCTAGCTGGTGAGTGAACTAGCTGGTGAGTGAGCTAGCTGGTGAGTGAACTAGCTGGTGAGCGAGCTAGCTGGTGAGCGAGCTAGCTGGTGAGCGAGCTAGCTGGTGAGCTAGCTGGTGAGCGAGCTAGCTGGTGAGCTAGCTGGTGAGCGAGCTAGCTGGTGAGCGAGCTAGCTAGCGAGCGAGCTAGCTAGCTGGTGAGCGAGCTAACTGGTGAGTGAGCTAGCTAGCTGGTGAGCCAGCTGGTGAGTGAGCTAGCTGGTGAGCGAGCTAGCTGGTGAGCGAGCTAGCTGGTGAGCGAGCTAGCTGGTGAGCGAGCTAGCTGGTGAGCTAGCTAGCTGGTGAGCTAGCTGGTGAGCGAGCTAGCTGGTGAGTGAACTAGCTGGTGAGCGAGCTAGCTGGTGAGCTAGCTAGCTGGTGAGCTAGCTGGTGAGCGAGCTAGCTGGTGAGTGAGAGAGCTAGCTGGTGAGCGAGCTAGCTGGTGAGCGAGCTGGTGAGCGAGCTAGCTGGTGAGCGAGCGGGTGAGCGAGCTAGCTGGTGAGCGAGCTAGCTGGTGAGTGAACTAGCTGGTGAGCAAGCTAGCTGGTGAGTGAGCGAGCTAGCTGGTGAGTGAGCGAGCTAGCTGGTGAGCGAGCTAGCGGGTGAGCGAGCTAGCGGGGTGAGCTAGCTAGCTGGTGAGCTAGCTGGTGAGCGAGCGAGCTGGTGAGCGAGCTAGCTGGTGAGCTAGCGAGCTGGAGAGCGAGCTAGCGGGTGAGCGAGCTAGCGGGTGAGCGAGCTAGCTGGCTGGTGAGCTAGCTAGCTGGTGAGCTAACTAGCTGGTGAGCTAACTAGCTGGTGAGCTAACTAGCTGGTGAGCTAGCTGGTGAGCGAGCTAGCTGGTGAGCTAGCTGGTGAGCGAGCTAGCTGGTGAGCTAGCTGGTGAGCGAGCTAGCTGGTGAGCTAGCTGGTGAGCGAGCTAGCTGGTGAGCTAGCTAGCTGGTGAGCTAGCTGGTGAGCGAGCTAGCTGGTGAGTGAGAGAGCTAGCTGGTGAGCGAGCTAGCTGGTGAGCGAGCTAGCTGGTGAGCGAGCTAGCTGGTGAGCGAGCTAGTGAGCGAGCGAGCTAATGGGTGAGCGAGTGGGTGAGTGAGCTGGTGAGCGAGCGGGTGAGCGAGCTAGCGGATGAGTGAGCGAGCTAGCGGATGAGCGAGCTAGCTGGTGAGCGAGCTGGTGAGCAAGCTAGCTGGTGAGCGAGCTGGTGAGCGAGCTGGTGAGCGAGCTAGCTGGTGAGCAAGCTAGCTAGCTGGTGAGCGAGCTAGCTGGTGAGCTAGCTGGTGAGTGAGCGAGCTAGCGGGTGAGCGAGCTAGCTGGTGAGCGAGCTAGCTGGTGAGCGAGCTGGCTGGTGAGCTAGCTAGCTGGTGAGCTAGCCAGCTGGTGAGCTAGCCAGCTGGTGAGCGAGCGGGTGAGCTAGCTATCTGGTGAGCGAGCTGGTGAGCGAGCTAGCTGGTGAGTGAACTAGCTGGTGAGCGAGCTGGTGAGCTAGCTGGTGAGCGAGCGAGCTAGCTGGTGAGCGAGCGGGTGAGCGAGCAAGCTAGCTGGTGAGTGAGCGAGCTAGCTGGTGAGCGAGCTAGCGGGTGAGCGAGCTAGCGGGGTGAGCTAGCTAGCTGGTGAGCTAGCTAGCTGGTGAGCTAGCTAGCTGGTGAGCTAGTGCGTGAGTGAGCGAGCTAGCTGGTGAGCGAGCTAGCTAGCTGGTGAGCGAGCTAGCTAGCTGGTGAGCGAGCTAGCTAGCTGGTGAGCTAGCTGGTGAGCGAGCGAGCTAGCTGGTGAGCGAGTGGGTGAGTGAGCTAGCTGGTGAGTGAGCGAGCTAGCTGGTGAGCGAGCTAGCTGGTGAGCGAGCTAGCTGGTGAGCGAGCTAGCTGGTGAGCGAGCTAGCTGGTGAGCGAGCTAGCTGGTGAGCGAGCTAGCTGGTGAGCGAGCTAGCTGGTGAGCGAGCTAGCTGGTGAGCGAGCTAGCGAGCGAGTGGGTGAGCGAGCGAGCTAATGGGTGAGCGAGTGGGTGAGTGAGCGGGCTGGTGAGCGAGCTGGTGAGCGAGCGGGTGAGCGAGCTAGCGGATGAGTGAGCGAGCTAGCGGATGAGTGAGCGAGCTAGCGGATGAGTGAGCGAGCTAGCGGATTAGTGAGCGAGCTAGCTGGTGAGCAAGCTGGTGAGCAAGCTGGTGAGCAAGCTAGCTGGTGAGCGAGCTGGTGAGCGAGCTAGCAGGTGAGCGAGCTAGCAGGTGAGCGAGCTAGCAGGTGAGCGAGCTAGCAGGTGAGCGAGCTAGCAGGTGAGCGAGCTAGCAGGTGAGCGAGCTAGCAGGTGAGCGAGCTGGTGAGTGAGCGAGCTAGCGGGTGAGCGAGCTAGCTGGTGAGCGAGCTAGCTGGTGAGCGAGCTAGCGGGTGAGCGAGCTAGGTGGCGAGCGAGCTGGCGAGCGAGCTGGCGAGCTAGCTGGCGAGCGAGCTAGCTGGCGAGCGAGCTAGCTGGCGAGCGAGCTAGCTGGCGAGCGAGCTAGCTGGCGAGCTAGCTAGCTGGTGAGCTAGCTAGCTGGTGAGCTAGCTAGCTGGTGAGCTGGCTGGCGAGCTAGCTGGTGAGCTGGCTGGTGAGTGAGCTAGCTGGTGAGCTAGCTAGCTGGTGAGCTGGCTGGTGAGCTGGCTGGTGAGCTGGCTGGCGAGCTGGCTGGTGCGCCACTGGCCTGCCTGGAGTGCACGGTGAGGGCCGACAGCAGCACCAGCTCCGGCCAGGTGTTGGCCAGCAGCCGCGTGTGGTCCGGCACCGGTAGCTCGGGGAAGAGCGGCAGTCGGCGCACCCACGCCACCAGGCGGCACAGGAAGTCGTCCGCCAGTCGGCACAGCGATGCCAGCAGCTCCACGTGGGTCACCGCTACGCCGCCGCTGTCGGTGCCATCCGGGAGAGGGGAGGGGAGGGGTCGAATCGCACGACTGATGTCACCGTCGATGACCGTCGCTCTTGCTGGTGGCAGGAAAGTAGCGTGTGTGGTGTGTAGTAGTGTACAGTGTAGTGTGCAGTGTAGTGTGCAGTGTAGTGGTGTGTGCAGTGTAGTGTACAGTGAAGTGTGCAGTGTACAGTGTAGTGTACAGTGGTGTACAGTGTAGTGTGCAGTGTAGTGTACAGTGTAGTGTGCAGTGTAGTGTGCAGTGTAGTGTGCAGTGTAGTGTGCAGTGTAGTGTGCAGTGTGACGTGTACAGTGGTGTACAGTGTGTAGTGGTGTACAGTGTAGCGTGTGTGGTGTGTAGTAGTGTACAGTAGTGTAGTGTGTAGTGTGCAGTGGTGTACAGTGTAGTGTGTGCAGTGTCGTGTGTACAGTGTAGCGTGTGCAGTGTATAGTGGTGTACAGTGTAGCGTGTGTGGTGTGTAGTGGTGTACAGTGGTGTACAGTGTATAGTGGTGTATAGTAGTGTAGTGTATAGTAGTGTACAGTGTAGCATGTGTGGTGTATTAGTGTACAGTGTATATTAGTGTACAGTGTATTGTGGTGTGCAGTGTAGAGTGGTGTACAGTGTATAGTGGTGGACAGTGTAGCGTGTGTGGTGTATAGTAGTATGCAGTGGTGTACAGTGTTGTACAGTGTAGCGTGCGTGGTGTATAATGGTGTAGTGTAGTGTGCAGTGTATAGTGGTGTACAGTATGGCGTGTGGTGTATAGTGGTGTACAGTGTAGCGTGTGTGGTGTATAGTAGTGTACAGTGTATAGCTGTGTACAGTGTAGCGTGTATGGTGTATAGAAGTGTACGGTGTGTAGTGGTGTACAGTGTAGCGTGTACAGTGGTGTACAGTGTAGCGTGTGCGCTGTATAGTAGTGTACAGTGTATAGTGGTGTACAGTGTATAGTGGTGTAGTTTAGTGTACAGTGTAGTGTGCAGTGTAGCGTGTGGCGTACAGTAGTGTGCAGCGTAGTGTGTACAGTGTATAGTGGTGTAGTGTAGCGTGTGTGGTGTATAGTAGTGTACAGTGTATAGTTGTGTACAGTGTAGTGTACAGTGTAGCGTGTGTGGTGTACAGTGTAGCATGTGGCATATAGTAGTGTACAGTGTATAATATAGTGGTGTACAGTGTAGCGTGTGGAGTGTATAGTAGTGTACAGTGCGTAGTGATGTACAGTGTCTAGTGGTGTACAGTGTAGCATATGGGGTGTATAGTGGTGTACAGTGTATAGTGGTGTACAGTGTATAGTGGTGTACAGTGTAGCGTGTGGGGTGTATAGTGTACAGTGTATAGTGGTGTACAGTGTAGCGTGTGGGGTGTATAGTAGTGTACAGTGTATAGTAGTGTGCAGTGTATAATATAGTGCATAGTGGTGTACGGTGTATAGTGGTGTACAGTGTAGCGTGTGTGGTGTATAGTGGTGTACAGTGTAGCATGTGGGGTGCATAGTAGTGTACAGTGGTGTAGTGTATAGTGGTGTACAGTGTAGCATATGGGGTGTATAGTGGTGTACAGTGTAGCGTGTGGGGTGTATAGTAGTGTACAGTGTAGCGTGTGTACGGTGTATAGTAGTGCAAGTTGTATAGTAGTGTACAGTGTATAGTGGTGTACAGTGTAGCGTGTGTACGGTGTATAGTAGTGCACAGTGTATAGTGGTGTACAGTGTAGTAGTGTACAGTGTATAGTGATGTACAGTGTATAGTGGTGTACAGTGTACAGTGGTGTAGTGTATAGTAGTGTATAGTGGTGTACAGTGTGTAGTGGTGTAGTGTAGTAGTGTAGTGTGTAGTGATGTACAGTGTATAGTAGTGTACAGTGTATAGTGGTGTACAGTGTAGCGTGTGTACGGTGTATAGTAGTGCAAGTTGTATAGTAGTGTACAGTGTAGTGGTGTACAGTGTATAATGGTGTACAGTGTATAGTTGTGTACAGTGTATAGTGGTGTACAGTGTATAGTGGTGTACAGTGTATAGTAGTGTACAGTGTAGCGTGCAGTGTATAGTCGCGAGAACCCACGTACGGTGCCAAAAAGAAGTTCCACGTCCGTACGGACATCCAAACGTCACCATCATCAACCAACCAATCATCACCGCCGGAGTCTATCCGGTACCACATTTATCTCCCCTCTCTCTCACTCACCTGCCCACCCTTGCCTGGGCTCCGGCTCCTCCCCCTGCCACCGTCGCCCCGCCCCCAAGGGGCCCCACCAGCTCCTCCGCGTGAACCAGCTCCACCAATAGCAGCTCGGCTCCCCCCGCGGCTCCGCCCGTCCCCGCGGAGGCCCCGCCCGCACCCACCGAGGCCCCGCCCATCCCCGCCGAGGCCCCGCCCGCACCCGCCGAGGCCCCGCCCGCACCGACGGAGGCTCCGCCCCCAGAGTTGGGGACCGCGAAGGCAGTGGGGAGGATGACCGGGGTGTGGCCGGACATCATGGACCCGTACTGCTGCTGCTGCTGCTGCTGTTGCTGCTGCTGCTGTTGCTGCTGCATGAGTAGCAGGTGGTGAGGGTGGTGAGGGTGTTGAGGGTGGTGGTGAGGGTGAGGGTGGTGGTGAGGGTACTGGTGAGCGTACACGGGCGAGGGCGACACGGGGAAAGGGCCGTGATGCGACGACCCCGCCGACCCCGATGACCCCGACGACCCCGACGACATCATGACCACGCTGGGTTGTGGGGGAGGGGGGGGTGGCGGCGGCGGAGGCGGGGGGAGAGGGGGAGGGGGTGGGGGGGGAGGAGGGGGGGGCAGCTGGGATGAGAAGGGGGAGAAGGAGGAGGTGGAGGAGGAGGTGGTGGTGGAGGCCGGAGGGAGGCCGTGGCCATTGCCGTTGAGCTCCGAGGAGGACCTGGGGGGGGAGGGGTGGACACGGGGGGGGGGGGGAGGGGTGGACACGGGGGGGGGGGGGGGGGGGGGGGGTGGACACAGGGGTGGACACGGAGTGGGGGGGGTAACGCGTTAGCCACCTCTGTGCACGTGTAACACGGGGTGGGTCACACTAGGGGTCGCGTTGGGGTGAGGTCACGTGTAGGGGTCGCGTTGGGGTGAGGGGTCGCGTTGGGGTGAGGGGGGGGTCACGTGTAGGGGTCGCGTTCAGGTCAGGGGGGGGTCACGTGTAGGGGTCGCGTTGGGGTGGGGGGGATAATAATGCTGGCGAAAGTCTACGCGGTAAATCCCAAATCAGTGTCCTGTATTGTGGACGATAATGGTCAAAGTCTACGCGGTAAATCCCAAATCCGTGTCCTGTATTGTGGACGATAATGGTCATCAAAGTCTACGTGGTAAATCCCAAATCCGTGTCCTGTATTGTGGACGATAATGGGGTTACTAAAGTCAACTCGGTAAATCCCAAATCCGTGTCCTGTATTGTGGACGATAATGGTCAAAGTCTACGTGGTAAATCCCAAAATCCGTGTCCTGTATTGTGGACGATAATGGTCACTAAAGTCTACGCGGTAAATCCCAAAATCCGTGTCCTGTATTGTGGACGATAATGGTCACTAAAGTCTACGCAGTAAATCCCAAAATCCGTGTCCTGTATTGTGGACGATAATGGTCATCAAAGTCTACGCGGTAAATCCCAAAATCCGTGTCCTGTATTGTGGACGATAATGGGGTCATCAAAGTCTACGCAGTAAATCCCAAAATCCGTGTCCTGTATTGTGGACGATAATGGTCACTAAAGTCTACGCGGTAAATCCCAAAATCCGTGTCCTGTACCGTGGATGAAATTTCGTCACGAAAGTCTTCGCGGTAAATCCCAAGACCGTACCTGGTCGGCTAGCCCCCCCCCCCCAGACCAAAAGGAAAAGCTGTACTGCATGGGGAACTCTGTCGCGAAACGGCATCGACTCATCATAGCTGCTCTCCCCACACACCCCAATGTCGCCCTCTACCCTGAGGACGACACTCACGGAAGACCTGGGGTTGGTGGGGGGGGAGGCGGAGACTTCACAGGAAGACCCCCCCCCCCCAAGGCGAGCGTGAGATGGGCAGACAGACAGACATCACGGCGGACGGGGTCGATCTACTGCTGGATTAAGTCTCCACCACCGGCCAGGGTCGATCTACCGCGGGCACACCCTCGGAGCAAATCGGAATGATTTACTTGTACCGATAAAGCCGTCTCTCCCCCCCCCCCCCCCCACCCACCCCACCCCGCCACCCCCCTCACCCCCCCCCCCCCACCTCACCTGGGCGTCGAGGCGGGGGAGGGGCGGTTGTCCGACGTTCCGTTGCTGGGCGAGCTCAGGTCGCTGTCGCCGTGGTTACTGCCGGAGCTGTTGGTCTCCTCCTCAAACTCCTGGCCGGACATGATGCGCTCAATCTCCTCCTCCGAGATCTGGGGACAGACACACACAGAGACACGGACAGACACACACACAGAGACATGATGTGCTCAATCTCCTCCTCCGAGATCTGGGGACAGACACACAGAGACACGAACAGACACACACAGAGACATGATGCGCTCAATCTCCTCCTCCGAGATCTGGGGACAGACACACAGAGACACGGACAGACACGCACACACAGAGACATGATGCGCTCAATCTCCTCAGAGATCTGGAGACAGACACACAGAGACACGGACAGACACGCACACAGAGACATGATGCGCTCAATCTCCTCCTCCGAGATCTGGGGACAGACACACAGAGACACGGACAGACACGCACACAGAGACATGATGCGCTCAATCTCCTCCTCCGAGATCTGGGGACAGACACACAGAGACACGGACAGACACGCACACAGAGACATGATGCGCTCAATCTCCTCCTCCGAGATCTGGGGACAGACACACAGAGACACGGACAGACACGCACAGAGACATGATGCGCTCAATCTCCTCCTCCGAGATCTGGAGGGTGTGCTCCTAATCTCAGCTCGTTAGCTGTATAAAAGACACCTGGGAGCCAGAAATCTTTCTGATTGAGAGGGGGTCAAATGCGTATTTCCCTCACCGTCATTACCACCACCACCATCACCACACCACCACCACCACCACATCACCACCACCACATCACCACCACCACATCACCACATCACCACCACCACCATCACCACCATCACCACCATCACCACCATCACCACCACTCACCGCGACGGGGCCGATGGTTTTGTTGCGTCCTCCCGGCATGCCGTCCTCCCGGATCGCTGCGACGGCACCGCCACACACCACCGTTATTACCAACACCACCACCACACCACTCACCGTTATTACCAACACCATTATTACCACCACCATATCACTCACCGTCATTACCAACACACTCACTGTTATTACCAACACCGTTATTACCAACACCACCATCACCGTTATTACCAACACCGTTATTACCAACACCACAATCACCGTTATTACCAACACCGTTATTACCAACACCACCATCACCGCCACACGCCACCGTTATTACCAACACCACCACCACCAACACCGTTATTACCAACACCATTATTACCACCACCGTTATTACCAACACCACCATCACCATTATTACCACCACCGTTATTACCAACACCACCATCACCGCCACCCACCGTTATTACCAACACCACCACCACCGCCACACGCCACCGTTATTACCAACACCGTTATTACCAACACCGTTATTACCACCATCACCGCATCACTCACCGTTATTACCAACACCATTATTACCACCACCGTTATTACCACCACCACCGTTATTACCACCACCACCATCACCACCGCCATTATTACCACCATCACCGCATCACTCACCGTCATTACCAACACCACCATCACCACCGTTATTACCAACACCATTATTACCACCACCGTTATTACCACCACCACCACCGCCACACGCCACCGTTATTACCACCATCACCACCGCCATTATTACCACCATCACCGCATCACTCACCGTCATTACCAACACACTCACCGTCATTACCAACACCACCACCACCCACCGCCATCACCGCCACACCACCGTCATTACCAACACTCACCGTTATTACCAACACCACCACCACCGCCACACACCACCGTTATTACCAACACCACCATCACCGCCACACGCCACCGTTATTACCAACACCACCACCACCACCACCCACCGCCATCACCGCCACACCACCGTTATTACCAACACCACCACCATCACCGCATCACTCACCGTCATTACCAACACACTCACCATCATTACCACCACCACACCACTCACCGCCACACCACCGTTATTACCACCGCCATTATTACCACCACCATTATTACCACCATCACCGCATCACTCACCGTCATTACCAACACACTCACCGTCATTACCAACACCACCACCACCACCCACCGCCATCACCGCCACACCACCGTCATTACCAACACACTCACCGTCATTACCACCAACACACTCACCGTCATTACCACCACCACACCACTCACCGTTATTACCACCACCACCACCACATCACCACCACGCCACTCACCGTTATTACCACCACCACTCACCGTCATGACCACCTCACCACACCACCGTCATTACCACCACCACACCACTCACCGTCAATACCACCACCACCACCGTCATTACCACCACCACACCACTCACCGTCAATACTACTACCACCACCACACCAGTCACCGCACGGTTATGACCACCACCAGAATTAACGTCAAGCCCGCCATCACCATCACCACCATCACCCCAACGACAGCCGCCACTAAGTGACGGTGACGTCACCACGACGCTTGTGCCAGGCTATGTGCGCTTTGAGGCCACGTGAAGTGTCGAAGGCTCGCCGGGAGTTCACGGGGCAGACCCAGGTGCCACGGGTCGACTGACCGAGGATGAGTGGCCGATGCACCACCTATGCCCCCTACTGTGCCAACTTGCTGTGCTTCAGCCACCCGGCGCTCCGCTCGTTGTTGTGAGCGTCGCTCCTCCGCCCTCCGTTGCTGTTGGAGGGCGACTGCCTCCAACTGCCCAGTAGCGTCCTTCACGAGCCTCCTCCACAGAGGCCAATCTTGACACCGCTGGTACCAGTCATCGGCAAGTCCACTCAGCTCCACGTCCTCCTGTACCACATCACTCCATCTCTTCTCTAGCCCGTGCTGCGCCCATTTAGCCCCCTAGATCCGGCCGAACAAAAGCTGTTTCAGCATGCGGTGGCTGGGCATGTGGGCTACATGACCCAGCCAACGCAGCCTTGCCTACCGGAGGAGCTCACCGATGGGACTTTGTCCAGATCTTTGAAGGATTTGTGAGATCCTCACAATCCAGCCTGGTTAAACCCAGGATTGATCGTAGGCAGGCTAGCCTAAATATTTCTAACCGGCGAAGATGTTCCATTAAGGGGGGGGGTCCACGTTTCGCAAGCGTAGAGAAAGGAGGGAATAACCGTGGCCGAGAAGACCCGAAGCTTCGTGTGGAGCGACAGACCAGGTAGCTTCCACACAGCGTTACGCAACCGATGAAAAGATATTGCCGCTCGACTGATTCGGAGTGAGGCCTCTGCTGTCTAACCGGAGCCGGTCATGAGCACACTGCCCAGGTATGGGAAACTCTCCACTCTCTCCACAACTGCCCCATCACCGATTGGGAGCTGTGGGGGTGGAGTGTCCGATGGTACAAAATACCCAGGCAGGTGCTTAGTTTTGGTGGGGCTGATGGTAAGGCCCCACCTCTTCGTGGCAAGCTCCAGGTTCAGCAGCAGCGTCTCCAACTCCTCCTCTGAGTGAGTAGCAGTCACCAGATCAGCACACGTAAAATGGTTTGACCAATAGGAAGCCATCACTCGACCGAGCCCTGATCAGCCTCCCGTTGCGTTAGCCGTAGGAGACGGCAGATCCCTCCGGTACAGCCATGGGAAGCTTTTTCGATCTAAAGCTTTCGTGACTGCGGTAATTCACATTCTTAGCTCTTCCGGTAAAGGTAACGTTGAAGGGAAACAATAAAATAATAAAACATATAAAACAATTAAAATTCTCACGACGTTTCGACCATAACACAAACGTTGGTTTTCACACCTGATGATGACCGCGTTATGGTCGAAACGTTGCTGAGAATTTTTATTGCTTTATATATATTTTATTATTTCGTTGTTTCCCTTCAACGTGACTTTACCGAACGAGCTACGAACATGGGCAGCTTGTCGACCTCCGTGCTCGAAAAAGATGTTGAATAACGTGGGAGCCAGAAGACACCCCTGCCACAACCCAACGTCAAAGGGGAATGGCTCCGACCCCCGGCTACGCAGCTATACCCCGGGCCCGTTCCTGGGGGGGGGGGGTTGGAGATCGGATCACCGTTCTTTCCCCTAAGGACTGGGCGCACGGTAGGTGTGGCGCTGGAAGCTATTTTTTTTATGGTGGAGTTGAGCAATTTGTGATCTCCACAGCAACCCCGCGACCACCACCCATCCTCGCAGCGCCGCACACGGCTCTCCGAACCTCCGGGCGAAGGCTGCGGTAAAAGCCTCCTCGTTCTCCCGACCTGGGATGCTGCAGGCGGTGGGTGGGGGGAGTGGGCCTGCCGCTTTTGCTCAGCCCGCCGGAACACCTCCGTCCGTCAAGCCAGGGTTCACTGGGGAGGTCTGGACCGTGTACCCAGAGCAGCCATTGCAGCTGCATGAGCCATAGTCCTAAACCTCGCCCATTTACCCTCGACATCAGGAGGAGGGGGCGGGAGGGGCAATGCCAATCCCAGCTGTAGGCGATGATCAAATTCTCGCTTGCAACTTTCATCAGCTAGCTGAGACCAGGCCACTGTGGGTTTGAATGGGGTCATGGGTGTACACCCACCACCGGAGTGGAAGAATGGCAGGCGCATCTTACAGATGACAAGTCGATGATCAGTGGGAAAATCAGCTCCACGGTAGGTCCTGGTGTCAAGGACATGGGCCCGCATCCGCTGGTCCGTCACTATGTAGTCCAGCAGATGTTCTTGCTTGGACCCGGCATGCATCCATGATGTTGTGTGGATGCGCCGATGCCGGAACAGCGTGTTGGTAATTACAAGCCCATGGGCTGCACACAAATCTAGCAGCCTCCTACCGTTGTTATTGAGCTGATCTGGCCCATGCCTTCCCATCACTCCAGACCAGGTACAAGCATCATGACCAACTCGGGCATTGAAGTCACCCAGGAGGTCATAGAAGGCATCTGACTCATCGGCTTTGCCTGCATCCCTCCACGAATGTTCGTCTTCGGTGGGGGCAGAAGTAACCACGACCACCACTCCTCGCCTCTGGTTAAATGGGAAGGCAAGCCCAAAGTAGCCTGGGGCTTACAGCTTCCCACACCTCGCTCCCACGCTCCCATACCGCCTTCATTATTTCGTTAAGTGCCACTCCCTGTTGTTTGGTAGTTTCCCACCAAGTAGAGGACTGTCCACCCCTCATGGTGGCAGGAGCCAGATCCGGTCCACCGGACCTCCTGAATGCCACAGAGATCCAGGCGGTGCCGGTACAGCTCCCGACAGCGGAGTGGCAGCCTCTCCTCCGCAACAAGAGTCCAAAACATTCCACGCGGCCAATCTCAGCGTGTCCTCTGCACCGCATGCACACACACACTCACACTCTCATCCTCTGGACCACACACCCACACACACTCATCCTCTGCACTGGACCACCCACACACACACACTCATCCTCTGCACTGGACCACACACACACACACTCATCCTCTGCACCACACACACACACACTCACATCCTCTGGACCACACACACACACACTCACATCCTCTGGACCACACACCCACACACACTCATCCTCTGCACTGGACCACACACACACACTCATCCTCTGCACCACACACACACACACACTCATCCTCTGGACCACACACACACACACTCATCCTCTGCACCACACACTCATCCTCTACACCACACACACACACACTCATCCTCTGCACCACACACACACACTCACATCCTCTGCACCACACACACACACTCATCCTCTGCACCACACACACACTCATCCTCTGCACCGCATGCACACACACACACTCACATCCTCTACACCACACACACACACACTCATCCTCTGGACCACACACACACACTCATCCTCTGGACCACACACACACACTCATCCTCTGGACCACACACACACTCACATCCTCTGCACCACACACCCACACTCATCCTCTGGACCACACACACACACACTCATCCTCTGGACCA